ATATATACGTATATAGTCAATGAACAGAGGTGTATGAAGTACTTGGAAAAAATTTAAGTAAATGTAAAAATGCCTTACCAGAAAATGTCTGGTAAAAATGAATTTCATTGAAAAGAATAGTACTTAAGTAAAAGTAAAAAAAAATTAACTTTTCACAATAATCATGAAAATAAAAGTAAGTGTACTAAGAAATGAAGTGTTGAATTTACTGAACTAAACAGACCTGAGTAAACAGGTTTACATTTACTCAGCTCGGATCAGTGGAACCAGTTGACAAAACTTGGTTAAATAAATTCAACCCTTTATTTTTTAAAGTGCATAAAGTCCTTTCAAGATGAGTTCAGTATCTAGGTGTAGTATCATTTTTATGTTTCAATGTAACGAAATGAAAGTAAATATTATGATCAAAATATATGTGGTAACATTACAAATCCTCAAACAAGTTACTTAAGTACTGTAACAAAGTAAATGTACTTAGTTACTATACACCTCTGCGAAAGAACCATTTCTGAGAGTTTCATTGAATTTCATCAATAGTTTATCAGGTATTTTGCTAACAGACAAATCAGGTTGACTCCAGCAGTTAATGCCAATGATTGAAGCAAAGATCGTGCACAACATGCTGCGCTCAGAGTAGAAGTTGGGGATGACTCTCAGTTACCACCACACCACACATTTAGCTGATTTTCTGTGAAGCTGACAGTTATAGATGTTGCTGTGAAAACCATCTTTAGTTTGAGTTAACTTGAAAAGTTCCTCAGCTGTTCATGTACAGCCAGCTTTTTGAGTTTCATTTAAGTCTGTTAGATTATTTTTCTTTGGGTACAGACAAACACGTGCACACACACAGCTTTACGTTTTGCTTCAGTAGTGGGCAGTAAAGAGTACTCAGCAGTACTTTAGATTTGTATTGAGCACCAAAGCTTATCACCTAAGTCAGGGCTCTGCAACCTTTACAATCAAAAGAGCCATTTCTGCTGCTTGGCTCAATTAATAAAATGTATCCAGAGCCACGAATTAAGCTACAACTGAGATTATCAACTGGTGGTCCGCGGGTCTTTTCAAGGACTTTTTGTGAACCTGTACGGCCAGTGGAGGTGCCATTATAAAACAAAAAAATATA